TTATATATATATATATATATATATATATATATATATACATATATGCTTATTGTTATAGATATATATAGATACAGATAGAGATATAGATATAGATGTAGATGTAGATATAGATATATAGGTATAGATGTAGATATATAGAGATATAGATATAGATATATAGATATATAGATATATAGATATATAGATATATAGATATATAGATATATAGATATATAGATATAGATATAGATATAGATATAGATATATAGATATAGATATAGATATAGATATAGATATAGATATAGATATAGATATAGATATAGATATAGATATAGGTGTAAAGATATATAGATATAGAGATACAGTGGTATATAGATAATATATATATATATATATAGACATATAGATATAGATGTATAGATATAGATATAAAAATATAGATATAGATATATAGATATATGGATATATAGGTATATAGATATAGAGATAATATAGATATTATAGGTATAGATACAGATACAGCTATCGATATAGATATCGATATAGAGTCTGGGGTGTATCGGCACAGCTGGTGGTGGTGCGGAAGAAAGGGGTTTTCTTCTTTTTTAATTTAAATAAATAAACAAAATATTTAAAATAATACATTTGTTTGTTTATTTCGATGCAAGAAAGAAGTTTAGCAGCCCGAAGGGGAGGAGGGTTGACCCGGCGTTTCCAGTGGTTTAGGGTTTAGGGTTTAGGGTTTAGGGTTTGTTGTTATAGTATTGATTTTGTTGTTTTAAATTTTGAAAGGTTGTTTAAATATCAAAATAAATTATTTAATTGTTTATTTCGTTCAAAATAATTAATATTTGCCTTTAGAAGATGCAAGGGGCGGGCGAGCTGCCTCCTGGTGTTTTAGGGTTTAGGGTTTAGGGTTTAGGGTTTAGGGTTTGGGGTGGTATGGGTGTTTCTGTGTGCATTACATTCATTTTTTCAGGTATTTGAAGGTATTTTGTATTTATTTACAGGTTTTTTCTCTTTTTTTTCTGCTTTAAAGCAGAGAACTCTTAAAGAAACTCTACAGGTATATTCAGGTGTATATCCAGCTAGCCGGAGTGCTGCAGCAGCAGCAGCAAAACAGCAGAACCGAGGGTTTCTACCAGGTACGTATATTTAAATTCTTTATTATATATACGTAAATATAACATTATTAAAAACGAATGAAGCGGGAAGGAGGAGCTGTGTCTCTCCTGGTTGGGGCTAGCAGCAGCAGAAGAGACAGTACAGAGAGAGAGAGGCAAAATGCAAGAAAAATAAACAAAAAAACTATCATACAGCAGCGACAAACAAAACATAAAGATAGAGATAGAAGCGATAAACAATCGAAGGCGGAAACAACAGAAAGAGCACAGAGAGAGGGAGAGAGACAATGTTTGCTGTCTCCTTAGCTTCGAGTGTATATACATCGCAACATGTTGATGTTATAAACAGCACAATAACAAACAAAAACAAACAAATAAACAAAAGCAAATATAAAAACTTTAAAGAAAAACAAAAACAAACAAAAACGGCGTCTCCTTTCTGTGTTGTCGCTGTTTTATTTATTTGTTTATTTATTTATTTGTTTATTTATTTGTTTATTTGTTTATTTCTTTCAGGTATCAGCGGAGACAGAGAGAAACTGCATCTGCAGCAAGACAGTGGCACGAGGAGCGACAACGCCCGTAGCAGCTGCAGCAGCAACAACAGCAACAGCAGCAGCAGCAGCAGCAGCAGCAGCCGCAACAGCAGCAGCCAAAGCCAGCGATACATCAGCAGCAGCAAGGAACAACAATGGATCGGCAGGGCACAGCACTACTGCAGCATCTGCAACAGCAGCAGCTGCGGATGCAGCAGGAGCAGCAGCTGCAGCACCAGTTGCAGCAGCGGGATCCGGCGATCCCCGACCCCACACTGCAGCCAGACCTCCCAGAGTTTTGCAGCGAGGAGGAGAGACAGAGAGCAATAGGTGCTGCTTTAGCTGCAGCAGCAGAAGCACTGCAGCAGGATAGTCAAGATGGAGACGATGAGGTGCGCTGCTGTTACTGTTACTGCTGCTGCTGCTGCTGCTGCTGTTGCTGCTGCTGCTGCTGTGTTGGAAGCAGCCTTTTATCTGCTTCCTCTCTTTTGCCTCCATTTATTTTTTGTTGGTTTCACCGTTTGTTTGTCTGCTGTTTATTATTTCCTCGTTTTGTTTTTTGTTTTATTTTCTGTTTCTTTTGTTGTGCTCTGCTGCTCCTGCAGCAGCAGCAACAGCAGCAACTGCAGCAACTGATGTATGTGCTTGGTATTGTGTATCGGCTTGTGAACGACTTCAGGAATCAGAAGCAACAGCAGCAGCAATAGCAGCAGTAGAAGCAGGGTCCCCAGATATAGAAGGAGTTAGCGCCGCGGGTTGCTGCTTCCTGTGCAGCAGCAGCAGCAGCAGCAGCAGCAGCAGCAGCAGCAGCAGTGATGGTGAGCCTTCTGGTAGAGTATCTCTTGTGTCTTTAGAAGACAAAGAAGGAGGCGAAGAGGGAGAAAAGAAGCTGCTTATAACAGAAGAAGCTGTACAGCGCTTAAGTAGTCATAAGCTTAATGAGTTAGTTGATAAAAAAATAGATAAAGATATGCTGCTGTCTCCTGTTGTTGCTGAGCAGAAGAGTTTATGCTTAGAAAAGGATATTGTATCATTCAGCTCTTTTATAGTAAAAGAAAATTATAAACAAAAACAAACAGATAATAAACAAAGACCTCAGCCTCTTGTCTGCTACTTACCTCCTTCGCCTCTATTTACTTTCAACGGCAAGCTAGGGGTTGAGTGTATTGCTTTTAAAGCAAATTTACGTGCTCTTGCTTCTCGCAATAATAATAATAGTATTAATGAAGGAGATGCTGATGATATAGACTGCAGTGTTAATAATATTATACCGCCTTTCTTCTTAGCAGCAGGAGACACTCTTACGCAGCAGCAGCAGCAAATGCTGCAGTTAGGTGTAACTGCAGCAAAAGAAATTGATGTTGGCGGGTCTAATGATATTGCTCTTCTCTCTCAACAATCAAAATAAAACAATATAAAAGAAAAATAAAAGATAAACAACACCAAGGATTAAACTATGCAAGTACGCAGCAGCAAACACAAAGATATCAGCAGCAGCAACAACAACAGGGAGAAGACAGCAGCAGCAGCAGCAGCAGCAACAATGAGAAGACAGCAGCAGCAGCAGCAGCAGCAGCAAAAACCGGCAAACAAAGACAGAAAAATGAGACAATGAAGTAAGCTGATGATATTCGCTTTCTTTTCTTCTCCCTTCTCAATTTGCAGGGCTTAACTGCCCCCTCTACCCCATTCCTAGCTAGCTAGCTAGCCCGTTGGCTGGCTAGCTAGCTAACGGGTTAGCTAGCTGACTGGCAACCTATGTGAGTAGCTAGCTATTAGGCTAGCTGTATGGCTAGCTAGCTAGCTAGCTGGCTAGCTAAATAGCTAAATAGCTAACTAGCTAAATAGCTAGCTGGCTAGCTAGCAGATTAACTCGCTAGCTAGCTAGCTAGCTAGCCAGTGGAACGAGCGGTCGCTGCTGCGCGTCCGCTGTCTCCAATTTTTTCCGGCATAAAAACAACATTGAAGGTTTAAACTTTAGGGCTTAGGGTTTAGGGTTTAGGGTTTAGGGTTTAGGGTTTAGGGGTTCTTTATTCTCGCTTTTGCTGTCGCCGTCTTTTTCTTTTTTCATTACCTTCTTTTTGTTTGTCTCCTCTTGCTGGAGTGCCGCAGCTGCTGCAGTTGTTGTTTTATATTTTGCTGTCCTTTTCTATCTTTGTTTCGCTCCCTGTAAGGCGGCTGTTACTTTATTGTTTGTTCTAGGGTTTATTGTTTAGGGTTTAGGGTTTAGGGTTTAGGGTTTAGGGTTTAGGGTTTTGAACCTTCACCATACGATGGCGGCACAGAAGGCGCATTAGATGTTAAAGAAATTCTATATATTTGATTGTAATTCATAACTCTTGATGCTTATATGTATAATATATATGTATGATATACATGTATATATATATATATACATATATATATACATATATATATATATATATATATTTACATCTGAAAAAATATGTTTTTATGTTTATAGTCATATACCTATATGAATTAAGTATTATATACTATTATATGTATAATATATACATGTTTATATAAATATATATATATATATATATATTTATTTATTTATAATAAACATATATCTCTTTATGCTTATATATGCTTATGCTTAGGAAATATTTCTTTCTGTTTATATTCTAGTAAGTATCTCTATGTCTATATTGTAATAAATATATCTTTATATACATAAACATAAGCATGAAGGGATATAATAAATATACATGTTTATATAGAATAATATTTTTTCATCGCCAAACAAATATTTCATTGGGTTTATAAACTTAACGCTAAGGCTGAGTAGATTATGTAGTAGTATACAGAAATACATAAAACCTAATATATAATATATATTAATCATATTATACATTTTATATCATATATACAATATATATATTATATTATATATAAGTATATATATATGTTTTTTATATACAGATATTGGCGAGGAAATTTTACTATTCGTGGTTTTTCTTGTAAAGATTATAGAACAAGAATGCGTTTTAAAAGCGTTGCTTGTTATTTTAGATTAATCTAAGAAATATTCGCTGAGATTAAGGATAGATATAGAGTATACACCTAAGTAGATATGCATAGGCTAACATACGTAGTAGAAGCAGTGAGAGCTGTTGAACGGCTGCATGGAGGTATTAAAAAAACCCTGATCTATCTTATCAATAATTAAAAACATAAGCACATAATATTTCGAGGTGTAAATAAATGTTTTTTGCAGAAATTTATGCAGATTAGTTTCTTGTTCATGTTGCTCACAGACAGTCGTGCGTCTCGTTGGGTATAATCGCCATATACTGAAGACACCTCAGCATATCAGCCCTCACACTGCATTTAAATTGAGTTTATTATATTATTTCTGTGAGTATTCGCATATAAATTCGATTTATTTCACTTCTTTCCCGTACTTTGTATGTAACTGACGGCGGCTTCGAGGCCCGAGTGTCTGTACAGCTGTCGAAGTTGAACAGCGGAAAGCCGATGGTTAAAGTGGAGGAAATGCGTCTTATTTTAGAGTATTCGGGTTGGAACAAATAAATAAAAGGCAATAATAATTAATATGTGATTGAATTTCAAGATTTATTTCGGGTTCCTTCGGAAAAAAAGAAACAAAATATAGCACTTTAGACCACTGGGCTCTTCGGGTTTATCGGCAGGTCCTGCGTTCGCATGTGCGTTTTTTCTCCCATTTGTCTTTGTATTTTGCTTTAAAATATTAATTAGGGTGTTTTTGTTTGTTTATTTTGTAAAAATAAGCCCTAAAGCGTCCGTCTGAGCCTTGTTATATCGCAAGTTTCCAGTATGAAAGGAGCAACCGCCGCCACCGCCGCCTCTACGCAGCTGTTGTTTCCGAGACTGTGCAGCACCTCTTTAAGAAAAAAAGAGTATTTAACCTCTAAATGGAATTTATTGTTTGTTTTTTGTCTACTTTTAGCGTCTATTTCCCCCGGGTATGGCCTAGTCCTCTCCCGCCCTGCCGCATTGCAGGCGGCAACAGCCACTGAACACGCATCGAAACCCCATACGCCTCAACAGGGACCTCAACATACACCTCAGCCACTACCCGAAGTGGACGAGCATCAAACTGAAGTTGGCAGCAAAACTGAAGCTTCTGCTTCTTCTTCCAGACCTACAACAAGTACAGAGACCCATGAGGGGGCAGCACAGGAGCAGCAACTGCAGCAGCAGAAGCCTGAATCAGCTGCAGAAGCAGCACCTCCCGCAGCAACAGCAGCACCTTCAGCAGCGGAAGAAGCAGCACCATCAACTGCAGCAGCAGAACCAGCACCAAGACCAGCAACAACTGCATCATCAGGAGCAGCAGCAGCACCATTAGCGGCAGTAGCAGCACCATCCGCAGCAGCAGAGGGAGGTGAACGATCTCCTTCTTCTGTGTTGAGAGAAATACTGAGGGCTCCCTACGAAGAAGGCGTGGGGCGTCTGTACACCGAAGGGAAGAACCTAGTAGATATGCTGCAGCAGAGTTTGAAAGCCTCTCGGGGGCTGACAGCAGCAGCGAATATATCTTCTAAACTCCGCGGAGACATAGTAAAAGACGTAGAGGCTCTCAGAGACACCCTACAGAAAGAACATGATAATCTTTTGCTGCTTCAGCAGTATGAACGGCAGCAAGAAGCACTTTTAAAATCTCAACTCGGCTACTTAGCCCCTCTCATTGCAAAGGGAAAGGCAGGAGATGAAAAAGAAAAAGAGAGAGAGAAAAAAGAAAAGCAAGACCAAACACTTAAACAAATATATCCTAACCCACTTCAGAGCACGTACACCTCACGCGCCGCACCCACTTCGGGTGTCTCTGCAGCTGCCTTCGTCTCTTTTCTTTTGTTTGTCTTGATTATTTAAATCCCTGCCTAATAATAACAAACTAATTTATTTCAGCAACGCCCTATGCATCAATCTGGAGTATATCGCACACGCCTGATGTATATGTATACCTCAAATGGGCTGCATATACACCCCAAATGAGGTGTATGTATACCTCTTTTGAGGTGTAAATACACCTCAACTGTACGTACGTCGAGCTGAGCGTGTGGCTGTCTCCTTCTAACAACAAAGGGGGAAAAGAAAGGCTGCTCCAGGCTTGTTTGTTTGTTTGCTTGTTTGTTTTTTTGTTTGTTTGTTTGTTTGTTTGTTTGTTGCAAGCGATAGAATTGTTCAATTCGTTTAAATTTGTCTTTCTTTAATATGAATATTTGAGAAAGAACAGCTTTAAAACAAACAAACGAGGTGTACATACACCTCATTCTTCTTTTTAAATTTAAGATGCAGAAAAAAAGCATAATTTGCCTTTGCATTCAAAACATCTCAATGTTTTTATTTTGTTGATTTGTTTCTGCTCCTTTTCAGGGCGGCACTAGATATATATATATATATATATATATATATATTATATATGCATACATGCTTATGCATATATATATATTTAATAGTATATGCTTAACATTTTCTGTAAACATATTCTCACACATAAATCAACCAATACATATTATGCACATCTTTGCGCAACTATGCCTTGATATAGATAAATATATATGTTAAACAAATATATATATATATATATATATATATTATATAATATATATATAATTTATATATTTTATATTATATACAGGCACCCATCTGTTTAACTGAAAAAAGAATATTTCTTTGATACGGCGGCTAAGTGTTCGCCCTGTGTTTATTTTAGGGAGCTGCGGAGACACCCGAATTTGCATGCAAATCAACAATCAACAAACAAATAAAAAGAGAATAACCAATAGACAAACAAACAACAAAAAGAAAAACAAACAACAAACACTAACAACAGCAAATAAACAAAACAAACGAAGAGAAGACAACCTTATTTTTCTTTTGCATTTACGGGGGCTGTGTCCTTAGAAAGAGTATGCATAGGGTTTTCTAGGGTTTTCTGCGTTTATTCCCCACCCTAAACCCTAAACCCTAAACCCTAAACCCTTGCTAAGGGCGTAGATGAAGGTCTTCAGTTGTGTCTCCACTCGCCTCCCCACCCACAGACCTTAAACCCTAGACCTTAAATCCATTCAAATATAAATATAATTATAAATATTAATAAATAAATAAATAAATATATATATATATATTTATTTATTATATATATACATTCATAGATATATTTTCCTACAGGTTTAAGGGTACATCAACACGCAGCCGTTTCTCATGTTCTGGACCGCTGAAATATGATACATTAGATAGAGTATGAAAATTAAAAATATGCGTATGTGGGTGTATGATCTTTATTTATATCTATGAATATGTGTATAAATATATTAATATGCATAAGTATATTATATTATGTTTATAGGCATGTAGTATATGCATATACATATGCATATATATATGTATATATATGTTTATATATGTATATATATGTGTGCAGATATTTATGTAGGGGGGAGATGAGCGAAAGAAATGCGAGGAGACACAGAAAGAGAAAGCCCCTGCTGAGGGGTAGAGGGTTTAAACAGTTTTTTGATGTGCAGCAAATAAAACAAAAAAAATAAACAAAAAAGTAGCCAGCAATACTGCAGAAGCACGTGGGCCTAGTGCACATGCAGCAGCAGCAGGCGTAGCAGCCTATGCAGCAGCAGCAGCTGCCGCTTAAGCAGCAGCAGCAGCAGCAGCAGCAGCAGCAGCAACAGCAGCAGTAGCCGTTGATGTGCAGCAAGCTGAGGAGGGCCTATTAGAGGGCTTTTTGCTGAAATCCACAATCAATAAATCTGCATATTTAAAATATAATTAATTTACTTCTTCAATATCTGACGTAGTATACATTTAAAGGGAGCTTTGCTGCAACAAACCAACACGGTCTCTCGTCTCTTCAGGAGGAGGGCTCGATGCTGTTGAGATAAAATGCAGTTATTATTGGTGTTGTTATTATTAGTGTTATTATTATTACTATTAATATGATTAATATTTATTTTTATCTTTATTATTATTATTAATTCCTATTGCTGCTACTCATCATCCGTCTCTTTCCTTACTGCACGTTCAGGGGGCATTTCGGAGCAGCTATGTTAATACCGGATCCTCCAATACAGCTGAATTATCTCTTGCCATTTGTTCATAGAAAAAAATGCAGCATAAATAAGCAAATAAAATACAGAAAACCGCAGAAAAGAGCAGGGAGAAGAGAAGCTTCATCCAACACCTTGATCTGCAGTACTTCGTGCTGCAGACACTTCTGCTGAATAAAACAACAAAATAGACACAATAAAACCCCTTTAATTGAACTTAAAAACAATATGAAATGCTGGAAACCTGTTGTGTTGCTTTTAATTAGGCGAACTGCTCGCAAGGAAACAGTCATAGAAAGCGAAGAGTACCCACTCCCGGTGTACAGACACTGCAGCAGTCGCTGTGGATGTGGCGGGTGTGGGTAAGACAGAGCGTCTTAACAACAAGTAAAGATTTGCCTTTAAGAGTTTTAATAAGGAATATTATTGAATTGAGCTTTGCAGATTTGGTTTCCTTCATGAAGCTGTCGTTATCTCTCCGCTGTACGTGCAGCTCGGCTCCTCTTGCTGTGCAAACTCCTCCAGGTGCGCATCGACCGCCAGTCAAAAGCATCTCCCCTTCCGCATATTTCTCCGTTATCCTCGGTATATTTGCTCTTAATCAACATTGTAAATGCTTATAGATGCCGTTATTCTCCGAAGAACGAAGGTTTCCCTCGAGATTCTCAAGGAAAACTGAGTTTGCGTTTGATGGAGGCAGAGGTGAGATGCGCCCTCCACAAGAAGCGCCAGTGGCTTTTCCGAGTGGTTTTCCTCCCGTTAATGTAAGTTCTTTTACTGTGAATACGACAAAGAAGGAAGATACTAAAGGAGATGAAGGAGGCTCCGGATATGGGGGCTTCACACCGCCCCAAGCGAGGCGTTCATCCTCGTCTTCTACCGCCTCGATGCGAGTATTTAAAACATTTCTTCTCTCTGTCTTTCTTTCTATTATCTTTCTTGTAGCTAGATGCGCAAAGTTTGTAGCTTTATCCCATATCAGGGCAGGGGAAACACCGCGACGGCTGGCGGAAGAATGGAGTACCACTTCTTCAGACGAATCTGATGCTGCTACTATTGCAGACATCTGTTTGAGTATAGAAGAGTCAAGCCCAGAACTGGCTCAGCCACCGGAAGTGCAGCAGCAGATGCTGGAGGACCTGCAGCAGGAGCTGCAGAGCCAAATGATGCTGGCGCTGCAACAGCAAGAGGGTTCCCTGCCGCAGCAGGACTCGTACCTGCTTCCACCAGGGTATTTGCCGCAGGGAGAGCAGGAGCAGCAACAGCAGCTGTTTGACGAAGATCCGTTCGGTGGGCTGCAGGAGCAGCAGCAGCTGCTTGACGGAGATCCGTTTGCTGTGCCACAGCAGCAGCAGCAGCAGCAGCAGCAGGCAGAGGAGCAGCCACAGCAAGAGCAGGAGCAGGAGCAGGTAGATGATGAACAACCGCAGCAGCAGCAGCAGGGAGAGGAACAGCCGCAACAGAAAGAGGGGGAGGGGACGGGACTGCTAATGCATCTGCTGTTGACCGGCAAGGTGCCTGATTTCAACTGGCCGGGGGGTGAGCAGCAGCAGGAAGGCGAGGGCGGGCAGGGGGGAGATCAGCAGCAGCAAGAAGGCGAGGGCCGGCAGGGGGGAGATCAGCAGCAGCAGGAAGGCGGGGGGCCGGGGGAGGAAATGGGGCTGCTAAAGAAACTGCTGTTGGCCGGCAGGGCGCCTCGTGCCAACTGGCCGGGGGGTCAGCAGCAGCAGGAAGGCGGGAGGCCGCAGCAGGGAGATCAGCAGCAGCAGGAAGGCGAGGGCGGGCAGGGGGGAGATCAGCAGCAGCAGGAAGGCGAGGGGCCGCAGCAGGAAGAGCAGCAGCAGCAGGAAGGCGGGGGCCCGCAGCCGGAAGAGCAGCAGCAGGAAGGCGAGGGGCCGCAGGGGGGCGATCAGCAGCAGCAGGAAGGCGAGGAGGCGCAGCAGGAAGAGCAGCAGCAAGGAGAGGAGGGACAACGGCCGATGAAGAAGCAGAGGAGGCGGGATATTACTCGGCCGAAGGGGCCCCTGCTACGGAGTGTGCTGATGCATCAGACCATGCAGCAGCAGCAGCAGCAGCAGCTGGAGCAGTTGCGGCAGCAGCAGCCGCAGCAATCGACGTATCCTTATATGCTGGATTGGGGGTTTTTGGATGCGTTAGAGAAGGAGATGCGGCTTCTGCTGGGGATGCAGGAGCATATGGAGGAGCAGCAGTTCTTCGATACACAATTGCTGCAGCATAGACAGGAGGCTGAGCAGCAGCTGCTGCTGCAGGAGCAGCGGCTTCTGGATCAGGCGGAGCTCCTGGAAACGCAATGGCTGCTGCAGCAGCAACATCTGCTTCAGCAGGAGGCGTTGTTGTGTAAGCAGATGGGGGCGCAGCGGGGCCTTCTGAACCTGCAGCGGCAGCTCTTGGGAAAGGTGCGGGAGATGGAGCAGCAGGTGTCGGCCTCTATATCCCAAACGCAGAAGCAGCAGCAGCGGATTCTGCAGCAGCAACAGTTTCTGCAGCTGCTACAGACCCCGCAACAGCAACAGATTCTGCAACAGCAGCAACAGCAGCAGCAGCAGCAGCAGATTCTGCAGCAACAACAGCAGCAGCAGCAGCAGATTCTGCAGCAGCAACAGCAGCAGCAGCAGCAGCAGATTCTGCAGCAGCAACAGCAGCAGCAGCAGATTCTGCAGCAGCAACAGCAGCAGCAACAGATTCTGCAGCAGCAACAGCTGCAGCAGCAGATTCTGCAGCAGCAGCAGCAGCAGCAGCAGCAGCAGATTCTGCAGCAGCAGCAGCAGCAGCAGCAGCAGATTCTACAGCAGCAGCAACAGCAGCAGCAACAGCAGCAGCAAGGCCAAGCTGTACGTGTGCCGCATGTGGATACATCTGGACCTCGTTTTCCGCAGCGGCATGGCTCAGGTATGCTGCTTCCGTTTGGTGTTAGTGGTAGTGCTGCTTCTGCTGCTGCTGCTGCTGCTGCTTCTGATGCTGATGCAGGAGAGGCGCTGCGGCAGCCTTTTGGTGACAGCAGCAGCGCTCGTGCTGCAGCTATGGGGCCGTTGGCTAGCCTGCCTTTTGATTCGTGAGCAGCAGCAACGGCAGCAGCAACAACAGCAGCAACTTGAATTTGTGTGTGTGCCCCAGAGGGGCATTTGCTGCTGTGATGTGTGTGGATTGCTGCAGCTAAAAAGCCGGCGTCGGAGGTGAGTAGACACCCGGGAGGGGACTCTGATTCTTCTTCTCCACCACCTGCAAAGCGCGCGATGGTTCTGTATGGTCATCGTACCGAAATGTCTGCTGTTTACATCTCGCAAAGCGGACACGGAGGAGGAGAAGACGCATTAGGGAGAGGTGGAGGTGCTGCTGATGCTGATACTGATACTGCTGCTGCTATTGCTGCTGCTATTGCTGGTGTTACGTCTCCTGATGCCTGGCTTGGAGGAGTTTCTTCAGGTCTTTCTGCTGTCTCGTCTGCTGCTATTGCGTCTCCTACGATTACTTCTAGTGGCGCACCTTATGCTGAAGGCGAAGAAGCAGGCCCCTCTACTGCTGCTGCAGCATCAACAGTATTGTCTTCAGCTTCTCCGTCAACCCCTGCTGCGCCTGCAACCCCCTCGTCTTCTTCTCCGCCTCCTTCAACTACACCTACTGCCTCTGCTTCTTCTTCTTCTTCTTCTTCTCCTTCACAGTCAGAGGGCGCCTCAGGAGCTCCTACTACTTCAAGTAGAAGAAAGAAGAAGAGCAAGAAAAAATCTCGTCGGCTGCGGAGAGTGAGCCCTGTAATGCATGCAGTTGAAGGATCGCTTTTAGTTAGAGGGGCTTCAGGTGTATCTACACTTGGTGTAGATATTTTTGAGGCTAGCAGTGGGTTTTATATGATGGAAACTTTGTTGAGGTTAGGTGAAGCGCAAGAAGAAGAATCATCTAATGATCATATGTTTCTTTCTCATCCGTTCTACCGCTTACCTGTTCTAGATGAAGGTGTACGTACAGCTCCACTTATGTTTCAGGGTTCTTGCGGCTCTTCAGGGAGATTAGGGAGGGTGCATCAATGTTTATTAACATTACATTATTTATTGTTGGAGAAGAGCTGGAGCGAAGAAGAGGCGATGAGGGCGATAGCTTCTGCAGCCTATCTGGGAGAGTTTCTCCTAGGGAAGCATACAAACCCTTTGAGTTCTTTATCTCCTTTTCGGGCGTCTTATTTATTAGGACGTCGTTATATTATATTTGACGCGCTCTTCTCTACTATTCAGGTTTTAGGAGCTCCAGAAGAGACACTTCAATCATGGAAGGCCTTAATAAAGGAAATTCCTTTTGCATTATCATTCAGACACCGCAGGGATTATGGTGAACAATTCGGCGAAAACTTGCAGCTTTGCTATCGCCTATATGAAGCATTAACACTTCTCAAAGACGGAGTGAGACCATCTCCGAAGGAAACAGTTTATTTAAAACGAGCGATTTTATATAATATGCCGAGTACTGACTTTGGTACTCCAAAGTATGATCCTTGGAGAGATGCAGATAGTGAATGGAACAAAGAAAATGAAAACAGAATGCGCATGCAGTGAAATATATATATGTATATATATATATATATATTATCTATATATATATATATATATGTATAGTACGTATATTTGTATATCTATGTCTATATGTATATGTATATATGTATGTATGTGTTGATTATCTATATACTCAGCTGCTTAGACAGCTCAGCCCTTCAAACGCATTGACCCAGTCATTCACCTTCTCGTGCACTTCATTTTTTTATTACTGCATGCTTTTATTTCATTCATTATAGTCAGCAGCAGTAACTGCAGCTGCAATTGCAGCAGCAGCTGCAACAGCAATTGCAGCAGCAGGGGCTTCGCAGGAGCTGGCTCATTGATATGTTCTCGCAAACAAATATTTATCATATACATCGTCGATACTGCGTTTTTTTGTATTTGTGATTTGCGGTTGTTTTTCTTCAGTCGCTAGAGAAGGAAAATAAACAACAGTTAGCACAGTACTCTCTATTGTGGCAGCAGCATATACCTTTGTTGTTCTTGCTGCTGCTGCGTAGTTATTACTACTAAATTTAGGAGTTATATATATGTATACGGATGTATAGATATATATAGATAATATATATAGGTATGTATGTATAGATATTATAGGTGTTAATGATATTAGTGATGTTATCCACTTAGCAGTAGTATTCAATTATATATTTGCTTGACTGTCTCTTTCTTCAAGTTGCTGCTGCCGCTGTTGCTGTTGCTGCTGCTGCTGCTGCTGGAGAGGCCTGTCCCACCAGTCGCATAATTATTGCATTAATAGAAGAAGTGAAGATGCGGCCTTTAAAAGCTCTAAACAATATGAATAATATGTGTATGCATATATATATGGATACATGCAATAAATAAATAATATGCAATAAATATATACATCTGGATGTATCTGTATACTTATTAATATGTCTATTTATTAATTCAAGTATATGAGACATATAAGAGAGATACATAAAAATATAGTTGCATATAATTACATGTGCACATGCCTAAATATATTAATAAAAGAAGGTGAATTTCTATGTGTAAATAAGCATTCATACAAACACACACACAAAGAGAAGACCAAACAAATTTGGAGTGGAGGAGGAATTCTTAATAAATGCAGAGTTAAAACTAAAAGACCTTTGAAGATAAAAGGTAAAGAAAAGAAAAAGAAAATGATGATGAATAGCGGGGGAGGCCATTAAGAAGAAATATGAATTTCAAACGAGGTGTACAGACACCTGAATGAAACATGTTGAAAGCCTCGCGTTTATGTTTATGTTGAATGAGTTCAATCAATTGAATTCATGAATATTGATGAATAAATTCATTTTAATTTACTCTTTTTCTCTTCTTTCTCAAGAATTAAAGTAATTCACTTCTTGAATTTCAGGCAACTGGATGGCGTTCGTGCAGATTTTTTCTTCGCTTTCTTATGAGTGAAAGTAATTCAGTTCGTGAATTTTCACGAATAATATCTTTTCAAAGTCTTCTGAACATTCCTTTTCTTAAGAAGGAAGTTAATTGTATCGATGAATTTCACAAAATTAATTCACATCTGTGCACTCTTCGTCTTCTTTTCCGGTAAAAGCGGCTGAATTTATGGATTTTCCCTGGAAAGAATCATTTTATTTGCTTCTTCTTCTTGTGTTTTTTATTGAATGAAAGTAATTGAATTGATGAATTTCAATAAATTCGGAGATTTAATTCAAATTTCCACCGCACGAATGAGTGGGATACCACCGGTTCAGGCGGGAGCCGGTGCGTGTGAGGAGCGTTTCTTCGGTAAGATGAGTGAGTATATTGCTTTAATTTCTTTTTTATTTCGTTGAATAATCAATGAAAAACAAAGACATTTGCAAGGAGAAAGCCGCAGGAGCAGCAGAAGCTGCTCCTACATCGGCTTCCGGTGTATCGTTGGTGTAGAGTGAAAGCTGCAAGAGGAGGTCTTGGGTGCTGACTCTACTCCCTGTTTCTCTGTTGTTTTTCTTCTTTCTTTCTTTTCAATTCGTTTGAAAGGTTTAATGGAGTTATATTTCCCCTTATTGGAGAACAAATACCTCAGAACATCTCCTAAACCGAAGCAAACGGGTTGGCTAGCCGCGAAGATCAACACGCAGCAGCAGCAGCAGCAGCAACAGCTGTTGTCTGTTGGTTCTTCTCCTTTCCTTCTCTAGTTTTGATAGATATGTTTATTTATTTTTTGCTTCATTGTGAATATTATATCTCATTATAGACCCAACTACAGCCCGCGTTGCTGCGAGCACTTCTACCTGGTTACAGCGAGTGTATATTTATTTTAATTTTAATTATTTCTACTCTTCTTTCTTATTAAATCTTCAAAATGGAGGACGCTATGCATCAAACAAATCATTTACCCCTCAAGGGGCCCCACAGCCGCCGCCCTCATCCAACCCCTGCTCGACCGTCTTCTCAAGGTACACGCTAAACACTAAACCCTAAACCCTAAACCCTAAACCCTAAACCCTAAACCCTAAACCCTAGATTTTAAACCCTAAACCGTAAGTAATAATCATTAGGCCATGTGTAACTCTCCTTTTTTGCAACCTCCTTCCTAAACTCCAAACCCTAAACTTTCTGTAGTCGATATTCTTCTCCTCCAGATGCTCAGGAGACCCAAAACCCTAAACCCTAAACCCTAAACCCTAAACCCTAAGTAGTAGACTTTAAGCCCTGTGTAAGTGTCCCTCTTTGCTACATCATTCCTGAACTCCAAACCCTAAACCCCTTGTAGTCGATACTCTTCTCCTCCAGATCCTCTGGAAACCCTAAACCCTAAACCCTAAACCCTAAACCCTAAACCATGTGGGGAGACCTCTTATTCCTCTTAGTATGCCTTGACGCTTTCTATGGTTATTGAAACGCTAAATTATCTCTCTTTACCCTTCTTTCTTTACGCATATTCGTATAATGTATATATATATGTATATATATATATATATGTACATATTATTTATTTATTTTAATTGTTTATTTATTCCTTCGGGGTAATTAAAATATACATATTCAAATCTAGAAGGTTAAGGTGTTTAGATTTGATTAGTCGAACACTGCATGCGTTGTTTGCCTGCATGCATTTACTTTTTTTTCCTGCTCTTTCTTCGTTCTCTGTCATGCATCCGTGGATGCATGCATCTATGCTTATATCTCTATATCTATATCTATATATCTATATATCTATATATCTATATATCTATATATCTATATATCTACATATCTATATATGTACATATCTATATATATCTACATATCTATATACCTATGTCTATATCGATATCGATATATATATATATATGTATACAAACATATATATAAACATATATATATATATATAGATATATAAACATATATATATATATAGATATATAAACATATATATATAGATATATAAACATATATATATATATATATA